TTTTTTTTTTTTTTTCTCTTCTTCTTCTTCCAAAAGGATTATTTGCGCTGAGCTAAACGACGGTAAGAGCTACGCGAATGGCTCTTTGAGGATCAGCGTATAACAGAGAATTAGATATCAGTCTGTGCATGCTCGATGTTAAGAGCACTGTTCTAGGAACTCGTAACTAGAATTTTCGATCGTTCGTCATGGACAATACCGACGTTTATTATTTATTCGTCTGCCTAACGTGGAACGTATGATGTGGATCGATCGATCTCGGTCGCTTTCAGTTCGCGAGACGAAACTAACAATTCGATGGAGATACAGCGAATAAAGTTTGATGTACGCCGTTCGTTACGGAGATTTTCGTGTTTCCGCGGTTTCACCGACGAGAAATAACAATTGTTTGATAAAATATTATAATTATAAACAGTTGTTGCTTCTGATGCATACGATGCCACGCGTAATTAAAAATATATACAAACGTAACGAGTCGGATCAATCCTCGAGTAATTTATATTACTTGCTCTGACGGGCGGCATTGATGAAGTGCATTCTATTTGTTTTAATTCCATCATTAAACTTTTTCACGTAGAATTTTTTCTGTAGTCTATTATCCAACGGATAAAATATTCGTTGAAAATGTGTAAAGACAGCTTTTATCTACCTACATTTTAGGAACAAAATTTTATTCTACAAAACAGATTTTATTAGATATTGTATATTTTAATTCGTGTTCAAATTATTCTAGTGTATGATCATTGAAAGGAGAGATATATTTACAAATATTATTTATTATATTCAATTTGTTCATTTATATATTTTTATTTTACTTTACGTTTCATGTGTACTTTTACTCATTTCCTCTACACTTCTCTACGACACCATCTTCCTCGTGACACATCATTAACTTGTTTATTGCAACCAGGAAAAAAAAGAAAGGAAAAAAACTTCCGAAAACTAAACTCCGAATATTACTCCAAACATCAAACGATCCAGCTCTGTGTCTCATAATCGGCATCCAACAGCGAGAAGGTCTCGTTTAAACGTTAATCTCGGCCTACTCGAGCGAGAACACCTTGAAAGCGAGGCCTACTCAAATATTCATTGACGTGGTAATATCCGGGCACTCCGACAGGGCCGACTCTCGTCTCGCTGTCGTCTTAGCCTTCGTCTTCGTCTTCCTCGACGTCGTCAGGAAGGGAAAACCAAGGTGGGGGATGATTTTTCCCATAGTGGGCATCAAGTTGTTTGGGAGCGAAAGGATAGAGGATGAAGGCGAGTAGCGAGCTGCGCCGGAGATACGTCTGGCTGGCGGTGGCGAACGTGTCCGAGGGGAGGGAGGTGTAGGTGGCTGTGGGGTCGCGTGTGGGGGTAGATCTTGCGCCGTCCAACCCAGCTGGCAGCATCCCTCGGCACCCCATGGCCCGCCGAGCGAAAGCACTGGCAGTCATTCGCGCGGATCCAAACACGCGGGATCTGTCTCTGTCTTCCGGGAACGTGTCTGCCCGCGGCTTCGTGGTCCCACGAACGTTCCAGCCTCTTGTTGCAGCCGCGACAACGTCTCTCGC